ATATATATATGTTCTCAACTATTAATTAATGACGAAGAAATGATCATATACGCTTTAAATGATACTGATTAGGATTCTTTTTCTTACATTTCTCAATATTCAAATAGGTAAAGAAACGAATCTTTACAGAACATTTGAAATTATGATGAGATTCATGAAAAAATATAAGTATTAAGCAAAATATGTGACAACGAAGAAGTTTTCTCACTAATTTAAATCGAGAAACGAGTACGTAAATTAAGAAATTATTGTTTGAAATACGAAGAGTCATTTTATTATTTGATATAGTAAATAATAAAATGATTTCAATAAGCTTAATTTATTAGTAAATGAGAATAATTTGCTAGAAATAAGCTTGCGTCCGAAATCTCTTAATATTTTCAACTTCTTTCTATTTTTCTTTCAATTAATAATATATCATAAGCAAATGAACAGTTAGAAAAAAAAAAGTTGTTATTATTCAAATGGTTGTAAATTAACTTGATCGAAATTGTTAAGAAAAAATGATAAACGGAATACTGTAATATTTTTATTTAAAAAAGTTTACATGCTCAATTATTATATTCAAAATATACGATCATACCCCCTACTTGTGATCCTCACAGACTTTCTGTTACTGAATATGTGTTTTTCTCTGAATTTACTTTTTTTTTCTGAGAACGATTATTAATTACAAAGAAAAATAGTTCACGATCAGACATGCCATTTATTTTCTGTCTCAAATAATTACTGTCTATACATTTAAGATAATTTTAATTTTAAGTTGAATGAAGAAAATGAATCGTTTTGATTAAGAATGGATGAAATTTTTTGTTAAATATTATGGAAATAAAGAAGGGGAGAAAAGCAACATGCAAATTATTATTGTAAGACGAAGGAGAAGGAGGAATAAATAAAAAAGAAATGAAAACAAACAATTTCTATCAACAATAATTGAACGGAAACAATCATTGTTTCTGTTACAATTAAAATTTAAAAAATATGGAATCGTTGACAAAATAATTTTTTTTTTTCCCATATCATTAGAATTTTTGTTAAGAAAGTTTTTGGATCTTAGATTACTTTAACGTTTTTTAAAATTTATTGTTGATGTAATAAAGCTAGCAAAGAATATGCCACCAAATCATTTGTTTATTAGCTCAATCTTACAAATTAATTAAAATTTTTGTAAAATAAATATGGTTTATATAAATAAGCTAGTTGGTTTCAGGTAAACGTTCACGTATCAAAGAAGATAAAAATAGTTTAATAAAAGTGATACGTTGTTATTTGTTTGGAATGGAAAAACTTTAAAAAAATGAACCTTTGACAAGTTTTAAATTAATTAAAAAAAACTTTCCAGTAGAATTTTAGTTAAGAAGTGATATAAAAAAGCAATCAAAAGAATTTTTCAATTTCTAAAAATTGAAAAAATAACTTTCTGCAAATATGCAATTTTATTATTTCTTTCATATGATGATTCTATTTCCAGGATAAAAGAAAAGAAAAGAGGGGGAGATCAAAGGAAATAAAAAGAGAGAGAGAGAAGGAGAGACCAAAAGTTTTCCCATTTTTATGGTAATTAAAAAGATTTTAGTGAAGAAAATGAAATTTGTTTATTTTTTTTCCTTTTTCCTTCCAACGATTTATATGGCAGAATTTTTTGTTTACGTTATTTATTAACAATTATTATTTGGAATACGCACGACTGTTTGATGCAAATTTTTATATACGATGACGGTTTTTTTTTGCATTTATCATCCGAAATTTTGAATTATTTAATAAACTGATGCATAATTCAATTAGAATTGTTTAGTACTGCAAAGTATTTTATTATATTTTCAATTAGATTGAAATGTCAACTGGGCAAACAAAATTTCAATCGAACAAGAAATATTAGCATCATTCAAATGAGATTTAAATTGTTCATAACGTTGACAGCCATTGATGCAAACGCAAATATTGTAATCTATCGATTTGTGCTCTTAATAGTTGCCGCTTTGGTTCATACTTCTCCTGGCATTTTTCATTGGCTAGTTGTGGGGTCAAGTTGGGGGCGAATTGGTTAAGTTTATTTCAAGTTTAGATTTTTGTTGTGATTTAACTAATCGGTCCAGATTAGCTTAGTTTGACTGTGAAATAATGTAAAATTAATATTTATTTGTAGTTCAAAAACTATATGTTTTAGCTACGAGTGAATTTTCTGGAATTAAGTGTAGAAATGAAATTATCTGAGCAAAGAAATAAAGAAGTTTTATTAACAAAATTTTTATCATTTGATAAATTTGATTATTGCAATATTCCATCACTGATCATTACTGTCATTTAAGATGCTATTATTTTTCATTTGCCTTTCTTTTCTTTCCTTTTTTTTATATTTGTTATACAAAAATCTTGATCATTGCACTTTGTTTTTTCCTCTTTTTTTCCATGTTTTTTCCTTTTTTCCACCTCTTAAATTTTTCATATACTTCATAGTTTTTTATAATTTTTGTCATTGAACGTATTTCTCTCATCTTGTATTTACCATTTTTTTCTTACAGTTCGAATTTGTTTCTTTTTTATTTCTTCCTCCTCAGTATTTATTTTTTGCTAAAGTCATCTTACTACATTTTTCTTCATGCTTCTATTTCATCTTTCCACTTCTCTTATCGATTTGAATTTTGCTCACAACCAATGGTCCTTTATAGGATGGAGATTAATGGTGTAAGTTTTTGCGAAAACTTTTTTTTTTCAGTCCCTGGAATTCCTTCACATTTTGTACCGATGAACTCATCAGGAGAGACAGTGACATCAATGAATGACTCAGATCAAGCTAAGTTGACCACAGAAATAGACGATTTGGATTATTTTCTTGATAACTTTACTGGACAGGTTTCTTCTTTCAGTCCGATCGATTTTTTTTTCGTGTACTTGACGTATAAGTGGGAAAATCGATTTATGTTTTCTCACTATATTTCTCTTGCGATATTATACCAGCTACTTTTTCTTCCTAGCTTTGCTTTATTTAAATGGCTTAAAGAACATTGACAGGATATCTTCTCTTCCTGACAATAATTCTGTTCTGCATACCAATCTTATGCCTTAGTAAAAAAATGATAAGGAGTTAAAATGCTTACTGTTCTAGGAAAAAAAGGAAAACATACAGAAAACAGCAAAAATTAATATTTACAAACTCTTTAAACAAAATTTAAAGGAACCAAAGAAACCGTTTGATTATGATGAATGGTGTAAGGAGATCGATCAACACCCAGCATTTATGACTGTTTTACAACCTGATGAAAATGGCGAGTTTTCCGAGGCTGTTCAAGCTTTACAGGTATAGCTATGATTATTTAAAATATGTCTTGCATTCACTTAAATTGCATTTGTGAAATTTCAAGATATAGAAAATTTTGCAGTTTCACAAGGAATATTGAAATACAAAAATTTTAAGATATTTTAACAGATAAATGTGTTTTCATTTCAGTTTAATTTTCTGACAGCTTTGAATCACGAAATATATGAAAATTTGATAAACGTTTTTTAATAAAACATTAAATTTGATAAACATTTACTTCATTTTTTAGGCATTGAAATACGAGGCGGATGACTTGGAGGATCGGAGAGCGACTGCGGAAAAATACAAAATAGACGGCAATAAGCATTTTGAATATAAGAAGTACCACTGGGCTATCAATCGATATACGGATGGTACTTTTATTTGCTGTGATCATTTGTTTAAAAAATACCTTGAAGTTTTCGAAGGTTTACTGAAGCGTAACGAGAAGTAAAATGGAGGGCTTAATACCTTTTGCTTTGATTGTAGCTTGAAATTCCGTGATTTGTCATAATAGCTTTTCAGTTATTAAGAGGATTCTGATGGTCATTTATGTTTAAGCTATATATTGTGTGTTATTTATTAGCTTACTAGATTGCAGGATTTGAGCTACTCATTTTTATCTAAAGCTTAACAATTTCAGTGTAAAAAAAGCTCAGAGTTTCATGTCTTAGATTAGCTTTACTTATAAAGGAATATTGACTCAAAATGAAAAAAATTGTTAGTGTTTTTTTTCCTTTTAAATTTGCTATAAAAAGATTTAACAGCTTGAATTGATGCAGGTATTAATCAAAGATGTACGGATCGATCGCTCAACTCAGTTTTATATGCTAATCGAGCTGCTGCTCAAAAACATGTTGGTAATATCGGCTCTGCCTTCAGAGATTGTTTCTTTGCTCGAAAATTCGATCCTGGAAATATGAAGGTTTCTCTTTGTTTTAATTCATCATTGCAGCTTCTCGGTTAAGTAAATGATAATCTTTGGGACTTAATTGGCTGAAAACTTTGTGGGCTGGAATTACTGGGATTTATTAGGTATTTTGTATTTGCTACATGAGTAAACTTGGCAAAACCTTTGCTCATAGAGTAGTTCTATGTACCCTTATTCTTATCTTCAAGTATTTGAATTTTTATTCCTCTCAGTAGTTTTCGAATTGACCCACCCGTTAGCCGAACGAGTGGTCAATTCGAACTGCATCCATCAATTCATTTTGTTTGTTGTAAATTACTTAAGATGCATGTCAACCGTAAAATTTTTGCTGACTTTATAAATTTTTAATAAAAATCATAAAATACCTTATAGCTCCTATATACTATTGAAATTTCATATATAAATTTTCAATAAATCGGAGAAAAGCTCTAAATATGTGTTCCTGCTTAGGCAATTATTCGTGGTGCTGAATGTCTAGTGGAGCTTGGTCGAGGAAGGCAGTGCGTGGACTGGCTCAAAGGCATTGGGGAACATCATAAAACAAAGAAGTTTATTATATATAGTCATAGTTAGTATTTGATTGAAGTAATAAAATCTACTTCATTTTATGTTTCTTCATTTAGGAGAGTAAAAAGAATTACATATTTGAGCAACAACATGAAAAATTAAGGTTTAAGTCAAAAAAATAGAAGCAGAAAAAAGAATGACAAAATGTTATTAAAAAGTATAAGATAATTGGACTGTACTAAGTTGCTTTTTAGTAACTTAGTATAGTCCAAAATGGAAACTATCTGATTATGATTTTAGTAGGTTAGAGATTATTTCTTATGATTCATTATAAATACATGTATTTAGATTATAAATCAAAATACGAATGCATAAATGACCTGTTTGAAACAGCGCTGCAGCTTGCTGTAATTGAAGAACGAGATGAGCGAAAGAGACGACAAGATGTGGGTTCATCAAATTCACTGGATATTTGATATCTTTTCTTTCTTCAATGGGAACTTTATTTTCTGTAAGATAATTATCTAAATTGTATCACTTATAGGTTGCGAAAGATTTAAGAGCGAAACAACGGCTACTGTTGGCATTTAAGAAGAGGAATATTAATTTTCAACCAGTTATAAGCTTTGATAATCCTGAATTGTTCGAATGGTCACAGATTGAAGTGCAGTTGCCATTTCTAAAAGAGGTTATTCCTTTTAATCTCAATTTTAATTCGTTGATGTAGTTTATGATGTTAATGTTTTTTTATTATAGATAATGGTATTAATTTCCAGATCATCGTTTTTGCGTAATCATATTGGGAGTTTAAAGCGTTCAGAAAACATCTGTTTGATTTTAGAGAGATGAATTGAGTTTTAAAGGATGTTTTTATTTTTAATGTTGGCTAAATTCATTTTTCCTTCCATTTCGAAATTGTATCATTTAATTCTAAATAGATCCGAATGTTGGCAGGATAATGTTCATCTTTATCACTCTTCCAACACAATTTACCTTATCTGTTCGATCAACTCAATTTCAATTTAGACAATGAGCTTTCGGACTTTGCTAGTTATCCTGCACAACATTAATGCTATTTTATTGTAGTCTGAAAAAGTATATGTGGATGATTGCGATATATTACATTGGCCTATACTGGCGCAATATCCGGAAACAGGAAAGGTTGATCTAGTAACTGACTGCTCCGAAGAAAGTTCAGTAGATGATGTCTTCAGTGGTATTTTTGAACAAAGAGCATCATCTGCTAGTTCTGACTCCATGTTCAAGTAAGATTTAATTTAGATTTTAAAATTATGTACAGTTCCAAATATAGAATGTACAGTTCTAAATGTACTTGAGTTCGAAAATACAAATGTGTTTTGAGGCTACTCTTAATTTACACGAAAAATAACATTTTCCTTTTTTCGTCGTGACAATGTCCGATATTTCGTATCTTTGGATTTGGACAAAGAATATAATTGCGCAGAATTGATGCCTCAGTCGAAAATTCGGGATGCATTATCTATCGCGGGATTTGTTGTTGTACAAGGATTACCAACTATTCAGGTAAGATTGATTTATTTAATGTACTTAGTCAGTTCAACTTTAAACGTATTTCTGTTAAATTTCATTTCCGCAATTGTGGATAATAAAGAAAAAACCGATCCAGCACCATCATGTGTCTAGGATAAGAGGCAGAGGTTTAAGCCGTTAATTTATATTACCATTCATCGAAAAATATTCGTTGTCACCAACAACAACGAATACTTCTCGATGGATAGTGCCATAATTTAATATTTAAAACTTCTATTTTTCTGAAATATCAAGTCGAGATGCTTTCCTTCAATTAACATTGAACATCTAAATGAATTTTTGAAAGAAATTATGAGAATGAATGAAATAACGATAAATAGAAGAAAAGACATTAGTTGAAAATAAATGGCTGTAATTTTTTGCCATTTCAATCCTTTGATTTATTTCTTTTCTTATAAGTATATTTGTACTTCAGATCTATACCAAAAAACATGCCGAAACAAATTTTGTGAAAATTGAAAATTGCTTCTACAAAACCCAATAAAAATTGTATCATCTTTTAATAGCCACTTTTATTTTTTTCGTTCAGGTTACATACTCTTTCATGTAATTATATACACATTCTATGATTCTTGCATTTTTATGTAAATTTTTACCAATGTTTTCACGCAAACTGTCCGTTCAATAGACACAGACTGTGTCTTCGTTAACAGTATGAATCACATGCTCAAAATGGCTCATAATGGGTTGTCGGAAGAACTTTACAAATGCTAGTTACTAACTGTTTTATTGAAATACTTTTTCGCTATGATTGTTGGATTGAAGAAGAACGTATACTAGCTGATCTGCAATGCATTCTTCTTGACGAACATAAGTCCTACCGAATATCATATTCGAAACTCTTCCACGTTATGACATTATGGGACGGTTGTGATAGAAATGTAAGCGTTCTTGTGAAACTGAATAAAAGAAACTGAGTTATTGTATTGTTTGTTCTAATTTATTCTTCTGTTCCATCCGAATATATGAAAAAAAAAGAAATAATGGAAAAGAGAAAAAAATTAGCGAAAGGTGGAAGGAATAAAAAACATGAGTTCACTTTTTTTCAATATATAGCCAATGTTTTTTATTGGTAATAACATTCCAATTTTATAAAGATGGTGTGACATTTTGATTTCAACTGTTTTTGATGTTTACATTTCATAGTTTTGCGTATATTTGTGTTTTGTAAACTAGATATATTGATTTGCTGTATTACTCCATTATTTTTGCTTCTTTCCTCTGTTTCAAGAAATTTGACGGCAGTACTCAGGAATTGTTATAAGTCATAGTGATCATAGGTTTTTTTTATCCAAAATGCAATTTCAATAAAGAGGACAAAGAATGATTAGCACATCTGTATTTTGCAAAATCTGAACTTCCCAATGAACCGTTCTGCAGCTAAAGCCGTTCTTTTGGCAGATAATGTAAAGGTAATGAGTAGAAAAAGAATAATAGTTGAAGTTTCAAGACTTGCTAAAGCAAAAGCTTTTCCAGTGCTGAATGGAATAGTCATACAAATCATAGTATAATTTTTTGGAACAGCTGGTGCTGTTAATAATTTTCATTGCACTTCTTTTGATACTAAAGACGATCGAAAATGTATGATGACAAATGGCAGTACTCAGAATCGTAGAAAAATGGAAATACACTTTTGCAGAAAGGCGTAGTAAGCTAAATATAAGTGCGCTACGAACGTGAAAGTGTATTAAATAGTGAGATAGAAAATAACTCTTCATTCTTTTATATTTCGAATTCGTTATCAATAGAATTATACTGTATATAAGGTATGTGGATTTCAAACTGTGATATGTTCCATGTTTTGATTTTGTCACAAAGAAATTCTCAATAGACCATAAGTGTTGTCACTTATGGTCTATTGAGATCGGTATGTTTTTAGGTACTTCGGTTGATTCAGTTCCGGTGATAGAATGTGTTGAAAATTCATTATCATCGTCTCTGTAATTGTACGGCAGCAGTTATGAAAAGACTTTTTTGAAAATTTTCCAACTTCTTAATCGATTACATATTATCTACTTAGATGATTATTTGCATAATTCGATTTTTTCCTTTCATTGGATATTTGAATATGAATTTTTTAAATTGTATTTTGAGTTCAGAAAATTAAGGAGCAGTTCAGAAATTTCACTATAATCCACAATATACATATATGAGATGAACTGGATATATGTCAGAATAGTAAGTGACCTCCAGGATTCCAGACTTTTCAAGTTTTAAATTTTGAAATAGCTTACGTTTCATTGTCATTGATAATTGACTTTATCTGAACTGGCTTAGTTGGTTCTACAAAAGAATATAGAAAATTTTAAGTAAATTTAAAAGTATATCGTAAGCATGCACTTCACTCATTGTCGATGGCTCTTCTCTGCCTATCTATAAACATATGAGTTTTGTCAGTTTTGCTAATTTTTAATTTACACACCTAAGTGAAACTTTTCTCTCTACTATCCAGCTATTAACATTTGGTCTTTCATACCATGAGTTATATAGAGATTCTGGAAATCTGTTGAAGTGGATTCAGTTTAATTCTACAATTAATCGATAGCATCATATTTTAGTCATACGTAACTACTTACTTGAATTACGTGAACCTTCCGTTGCTGATGAGCTAACTTCTAATGCTGTCTTACTGCTCATATCACACTGACTGCTACTTCGTCTGCAAAAAAAATCATACTCGTACGCACGCTTTTCAGTAATTTTTTTGATAATCTAAAATTCGAAAGCTTTGAATTTAATTAACTTCTAGCTCAATCCATTTAATTGCTTCGATAAGATTAAGCAAATTGAAATAACGATGAAATGACATAGAAACCTGTAAACTCTAGCTATATACTTCCTTTCAATTTCTTCATCTTTGATATTAACATGTGAACTTGTGGCATTCGATATTTCCCGCCAACCTTCTAGTTTTCCTTCAGGATATATTTTTTCGAACTTGAAATTATCATTCCATTTTGCTTCACAATATTCAAATGTTTAAGCTAAGATTGAGATTAAAAACAAACCATAAAATGGAGTGTAAAAATAAAGAAATACCTAAGTGTAATGCATAAATGATTAATTATTTAATTATGTGAATAAAATCAATATAAACTTACGTTAAGTAATGCGTAGTTGACATTGATTGCAGCTTGTGCTTGAATCCGTGATCGGCGGATTATAAAATAAATATACCACGGTAAAATGATGATAGCCATGGAAATGCTTCCAACAAGCCAAATAAAATAAAACGTTGGTCGTTGATGGTTTGTTACCGGATCCACGTAAAATACTTTTTAATACGTGAAAAGAAGAAATCACAGTAGTAATGTGATAGTTAGCAATACGATGTAAAGATTGTTAGGAAGATTAGGTGCTTCTGGCAAGAAAATTCAAAACTATACCAACTCGATCCATTGCATATGTAGCAGTTTAATTTTAAATCTAAATTTAAACAAAATTAAAAATTCAAACATTAATAATTGAAGTTACTTTTACCGAAATTCTTCCATGGACTTTCGCTTTCTATTACCATAATTGCTACATATATACTGAAGTGTTTGTTTGCTTGAAATATGCCGAAAATTTAAAGCATCCAATTGAAAATAATCAATGTTGCTCTAATTAATGACCAGTAATAAGCTTATTTTTCTCTTTTTAAATTTTATTTAGTTTTGAACACGAACAAAATTGCCAACCACTAAATGAATGTTTCAATGACAAATCAGTTTCTTAATATATTAAAATAACTTTTTTTTCAAGATAATTTCGTGACATATAATTCACATAACATGCAAATTTGGTGGTAATTTATTCATCAAATTGTATTTCTGACTATTCAGAAATTTATGAAAACTTCTGTAAAATACTTGCACAGCGCTTAACTTGCATTCATATTGCACCCATGCATTTACAAATTAGTAAAAAATATGCAGTAATGATAATGATAATCATAATGAATAATTATAATAATAATGACAATAATAATAGCAATAATAATAACAATAATAATAACAATAATAATAACAATAATAAT